TGCACCAGCTTTTAAGATGAATTATGATCGTGTTCAAGAAAAAAAATAATCAGTATTTTTCTCATGTTCTTATGAGACATTTTGCAAATTATTTGAAGATTTCCTCCCACCACCACTCCATTCTCTAGATGCAAACAAAACACCAAAGCCTTTTTTCCCTAGGGATTTCATCTTAAACTTACGCACAGCATGTAATCTTTACTTTCTGTGAACATCAGAAAGCAAAATAGGATTGAATGCTATTCAAAATCCCTCGACAATGTTTGTGCTTGCTTCTCTGATCCTGGCAAGTCGTGTCTTCAGCCTTTGATTCGTTCATGCTCCTTTTTTCTTTTCCCTTCTTTGAACAGAATCACACTTAATTAGGCCACACCTGTTGTCAGGCCTAAAAGATTAGATGCCAGGTCTACAGCTAGACTGCCACTGGGTGGTAAAATTTAAGGCACTGTTAAGCAAAATGTTCTTAAAGCCACAGTGAGACATCACTGCCCTTCGTGGCAATTGAGTGGGTAATACAGAAAAATATTCAGTTGGAAATGTTGACTTCTGAGCCAAAGGGCAGGATGGAATGTAGGGTCAATAGAACACAGGGAAAAAACACCTTGTTCTTGGATGATGCTTCTGATAATATGCAGCAAGTGCATGTGAGAAAAACATTATGGGGAGGGCACTGAAAATGTCAACACTCTATGCTTGTTTATTTGAACATTTAAGCTAATATTGAAATCTTAGAACCACAGAGCTGAAAGGGACCCTATGTATCATTGAGTCCATTCCCTGTCAAGGAGGCCGAGTGGGGAATCAAACTCTCCACCTCTGGATCCACAGCCAGATACCTAAACCACTAAGCATTTATACCCTGCGTTCCTTCAGTAATTTGCACATACATGCCTCTCTACTTCCCTATCTTACCCTTATTGCAACCCCATGAAGTTGGAGAGATTAGGAATGTGTGACTGATCCAAGGTCACCAATGAAAGTGGGGATTTGAACCCATGCCTCCCAAGTCCTTGTCCAACATTCTTGAAACTAGACTACATTGACTTTCCCAATAAAGTATTAAGATTCCCCATGTCAGGTCTGGACATTGCATAACTGAGAGCGAGGCAAGATGAAGACAAAGAGTAACCAAAGAGATAAATGGTTGAACAATATGTTTCTGCACTGTGCACTGGTGAAGATGTGTCACCTGAAAGATTTCATATGTCAGCGTATTTGTCAAAATATTCCGACATATTGAGGGCATGTTGTCCTTCTTGACTTCCTTCTGTAATGAGTGTTTCTTCAGCTTCATACTTCAGCCAGCTATGTAAACTAAATCTTTGCTTACCACACTTTAGGTCACCAGCTCGATCAGAGCTTATTCTTGGCACTATTTTTGTGTATGTAGTGAGATGAGCAAAGATGGGGATGCCTCACCCCAATATGTCAGGGGTCATTATGATCATGAGTCATCTATAGTGTTAGGTCAGGGGGGTCTGATGCTTGAATGTCTCCCTAAGAGTTCTACAAAACTTTATAGACCTCCTGGGAAGGCTTGTAAAATAAAAGATGTGGCGCACCAAGGTAGTATAAAACTAGATTACTATAGTTATAGAGCAGTGTTCCCTAACCTGGGAGGTCGTGACCCTGAAGAGGATTGCAAAGTGTTTTCTGGGGGATCATGGATCAACTTATATGTGTTGTAGTTTAGTTGTTTAGTTGTGTCTGACTCTTCGTGACCCCATGGACCAGAGCACACCAGGTCCTCCTGTCTTCCACTGCCTCCCGGAGTTGGGTCAAATTCACGTTGGTAGCTTCGATGACACTGTCCAACCATTTCGTCCTCTGTCGTCCCCTTCTCCTCTTGCCTTCACACTTTCTCAACATCAGGGTCTTTTCCAGGGAGTCTTCTCTTCTCATGAGATGGCCAAAGTACTGGAGCCTCAGCTTCAGGATTTGTCCTTCCAGTGAGCACTCAGGGTTGATTTCCTTTAAAATGGATAGGTTTGTTCTCCTTGCAGTCCAGGGGACTCTCAAGAGCCTCCCCCAGCACCACAATTTAAAAGAATCAATTCTTTGGTGGTCAGCTTTCTTTATGGTCCAGCTCTCACTTCCATACATCACTACAGGAAAAACCGTATCTTTGACTACATGGACTTTTGTTGGCAAGGTGATGTCTCTGCTTTTTAAGATGCTGTCTAGGTTTGTCATCGCTTTCCTCCCAAGAAGCGGGCATCTTTTAATTTTGTGGCTGCTGTCACCATCTGCAGTGATCATGGAGCCGAAGAAATTAAAATCTTTCACTGCTTCCATCTCTTCCCCTTCTATTTGCCAGGAGGTGATGGGACCACTGGCCATGATCTTAGTTTTTTTTGATGTTGACCTTGAGAGCATTTTTACACTCTCCTCTTTCACCCTCATTACAAGGGTGTTGAATGTGTTGTACCTCTTGTTAAATAATTACTTCCTAGACCTTTCAGAGCTGAATATTAACGTTGGTGTGTATGCATATGTGTAAAAAATTGGCCCTTTGGAAGAGAAAGGAGCTTCCTTCTCATAGGATGATTTTCTGCATTAACAATGTCTTTTTATACAAATGGCTGAGGGCTGAAGGTTACTTGGCTAACATAAAAGATGGTCACGAGTCAAAAAAGGTTGGAAACCACTATTACAGTGTGTGCAAGTTATACAACCTGCAAGCCCCATCTCTGGCCATTGCAACATAAGCACGTTCTTCTTATTTCAATACACTTTCAATTCTCGTCTTTGTTGCAGTTCCACACAGGACTGTCAGCCATGCAAGGCAGAGTTTGTGTACAATGACCTTACTTCCAGACTTGGCTGGATTGCTGGCTGATTGTTTTGCAGTAACTTTTAATAAACTGCTCTTCAAGCTTCATTTTTAAAGCACAATGTACATTTTCAGGGCTACTTTTTCTATACCCCCTTTAATGACTTTAAAGCTATATACATAGAAAATTCCACATCTTGACAATGAATGGTATGAAGCATTATTTGTTATTGTTATGCCAAATGAAAGAGTTTTTCAGACATGGTTCAACAATGGAATGTATTAATTATTTCTTTAGTTAATTATTTAAAATATTTGTAATCTTTCTTTCTCCTTAAAAATCAAGGCAAATTCCATCATTAAAAAGCAAAGCACAGCAAAGCAAAGTGTCCTGCTTATATACCGCCCCATAGTGCTTCAAGCATTCTCTGGGTGGTTTACAAGTTAATTATGCAGGCTACACATTGCCCCCCCCCAGCAAGCTGGGTACTCATTTTACTGACCTCGGAAGGCTAAAAGGCTGAGTCAACCTTGAGACGGCTACCTGGGATTGAACCCTAGGTCATGAGCATAGTTTTGGCTGCAGGACAGCAGTTTAACGGCTCTGCATTAGGCTCATTAAAAGACAATATTTAAAGCTAAAAACAGTAAATATACAACTACTAAGAAGGATTAAGCAAATCACACTAAAAATGGTAAACAAAAGCAGCAAAATGCATTTAAAGCAAAAAGGCACAAAAAAATCCATTAAAAAACCCAACTCAGCTGGCCAGTCATTAAGAGAAAGCTTGCCTGAAGAGAAGGGTCTTTGCGTGTGGAAGGACAGTAAAGATGGGCTTTCCATGGGAGGAAATTTTAGAGCCTAGGAGCAGAAAGCATCTACTGACACAAGATTTAATGATTGCCACTAACTTAGGTGGTTCTTGGTCCTCACACTCAAGAACAGACCACTTTAGCCACCACTATAAGGATACAAATACTTTTCATTAAATTTGACATCCCTGTTGATTTCTACTTGAAAAGCCGTCTTGGCAAGGTTTTTTAAAGCCCTGCAAGAGTTCTTGCCTCCAGACAAGTGTGACACAAAGCTTTTTCTTGCTGTTGAGATTTCCATAATTCTTATCAAAATATGCACAAAGTGCTTTATCCCTGAAGAAGAAAAGCAGGAAGCATAGAGGTACTGATGGTTAAGAAAGAGACAAGCAACCCATTCAAGGCTTACAATCATTCCATTTCCATGAATATAACGAGCAACCCTTCCAATTTTCCTTCCAATTTTTCAAACATTGAGTGCAATAATTTGGTGGAAAAAGTAATCTTCATGAATGCATAAGTCATGTGGAGGATAAGAGTGGTTGAAATCCTATTGTGTAACTATGTCAACATAAGGCACTCTCTTATGTCTCCATCAACCATGCCTGCACTGGCAATGGGACAAAGAGGAAGCCTTCCTCTTATCTTAACCACCAAAAAGGCTCATGTGGGGAGATACAGTCCTTCAGGTAGCCTGAATATTAAGATTAACCCATTTAGATGTACTTGTTACTTCCAAGATCTGTGGAAGATGCTAACAATGGGGCAAGATCAAGGTACCAGAGGAGAGCATTAAGTGGTACCCAATCTTGACTGCTACCCTAAAAGCTTGCCACCTTAGGTGTTGCAAAGGACGATGCAACATGGTTTGTGTTGAAGAAAGATCCAGCTGACTGTCCAGATGGATTGTACAAATGAAAAAGAGAGAGCTCTTACCTTGTTCCTTGCCTCAAGCAGTAGAACACCTTGGTCTGACCCTTTGCGATGTACAATCCTGAATATGTCTACTCCAAAGTAATCTCCACTGAATTTCATATGATTTTACTATGGAAAGAGTGTGCCTATCAGTATAGCCTAGAGGCAATATGCTGTAATGATTAACGTGCTGGAGTGTCAGACTTTGGTAATCCAGATCCTGTCCCCAAAGAGCTATGAAATTCACTAAGTAACTTTGGCTAATCACTGTTGGCCAGCCTGACCTCCTTTGCAGGGTTGGCGTGAGACCAAAATGAGTTGTAGTGAGCCATATGTGCAGCCTTGAACTCAGGAGAAAAAAAGTGGGAGGTAAATAGAAATAAAGCTCATTCCACTAAAAATTTAGTAACAAACATTAGTTTAATTTGACAGGTGCATGCATACACATACACTCACACAGAGAGTTGATTACTGAATACTGCATGTGAAGAGGGTGAATATGGCACAACACAGGGATGAAATTTTGTGGTGGCCACTTCGTTATCTTTCATAACATGCACTATTCTTCCAAAGCGACATCGGCCCTACAGTACTGGGAGGTTAATGGAGGTATATTTGACACAACAATCATAGGGTCATCATTGAAATATATATTATTTATTTGCCACTTTCATTTTAAAACAGGACACTCCTTTCAAGAACTGCCTTCTTGTCTGATGACTATATTAGAAGCTGCCTGCAAAAAGGATTTCAATCGGCAGCAAAGACCTTATTTTAAGATATGCATCACGTTCATCTGGAAGAAACGAAATAATTAAAAACTACCACGTCTTCTGCTCATTGTATTTATAATTAACAAAGTAAATGAAAAAATCCTCGTCTTTTATCTTACATCAAAAATTGAGTATTCATCTTTCTCTGACATAGCTTTTGAAGCATTCATACCTTTCCCATCTTCTCGGCTCCCCTGCTGTTTCTGGATGCAGGTGAATTAAACATGACTTGCAAGTAAATATGCATTATTTTAAAGTAAGAATTAGAATGAACAGGAAACAGAAAGAGAGAAAGACATTTTTTTTTCAGATCTTCTTCCCTCTAACTTTCACAACCATGCAAATCTCTGTAATATTTACACATTCAACAAGCTTGGATTCTGGTGTTTGTTTTTCTTTTCTTCTCTTTTTGGTCACACCGAAGTAAGCAGCATGGTTTATGACAGACAGTTGGGAACTGATTTGTTTTAATACAAAGAGATTTTGGAAGCTGCTGCTGAACTGATGTTGCACAGTAGAAACGCTGAAGGGGCTAGAACAACTCTTGTCAACAGGTTACGAAATGTTTGAGGAATTTAAATTCTGTAGACAGGGGAGAATTAACAATATACAGCTGTATGTAACTATAAAATGTGGAATGAAGGTGTCAAGGATCACTTAGTGTGGGAAATTCACACAGCAAATAGTCAAAGATGGAATTCAGGAACTGAGATGAGGTGATAGCAACTGAGGGCTTGGTTGGAGGGCTTGACTGAAGCGGACTCAATAGGGTCACTTAAGGTCATGTAGAGGTGCAGTATGTCTTTTGGCTGATCCTTGCATCCACATGGCATGTGCACCTCAATCAACCCTATTTGGCCTTCATTCCTATGAAGGGAAAGAAAAAAAGAAGGCATGTGCACCTCAAGCAACCCTATTTGGCCTGCATTCCTATGAAGGGAAAGAAAAAAGATAACCAAAGAAAATCCCCCTCAGTCAGACTTCATGGAAAGCCAACAACATAAACATTATTCAAAGTCTACACTCCAACTACAGTTTGTAAAGAAGAAATCAAAAGATTTGTGCATGTATTGAGGAGAGAACCAATCACATGCTGAAATAAGATGAGCTGATAATCATGAGTGACTGGAATGCAAAAGAAGCAAATAAAGCAGAATGAAACACTCTCGGTGAATTTAGTCTAACAGGTAGAAGTGACGCAGCCAACAATGTATTTATTGCCAATGAATGCTGCAGGCTAGTTAACAAACAAATGTGCACGAGCGCATATTGTCTCATTATTACAATCTCATGAGATGGCAAATATTATATATATAATATATATATAGATATAGATATAGATATAGATATAGATATAGATATAGATATAGATATAGATATAGATATAGATATAGAT